TAAAGCAGTTTTCCTCACTTTCTTAAACAAATAATTATACATAAAGAAAAATAAAACAAAATTGAACATGGCATGTATTGAGAAATCAGATTTCTATTTAATTTCTTAAAATAAAATTGTAAAAACTTTTGTAAGTGACAATCTTTAAATATATAACAATACATTTATTTAAATCTGCACTGTGAAAGCTTCTAATAAATAGGAAGTCAGAGAAGGATAATACATAGTAAGCTCCCTGAAAAACTGTCATAACACAGAAAAAGCAGCTTTAAGAAAAAGGCAATTTAGATTTTCTTGTACTTGCTGATACTAGTAAAAGGAACTGCCCCATTCATAACAGGATGCTTCTTCTAGCACCATTTTCTGCATTACAGTTATGGCAATTTTTTAGAATTATAAAGCATTAGAAATACTAACTGATGGTGTTCTTATCGAAAAATCTTACTTTTTTGGGTTAAGACAGTTTTTAAAAAAGAACTACAATGTGTTGATATTCATTTGTCAATTAATAGGGAAGCAGAAGTTTTCTTTATGATTTATTCAAAGGTGTAGTCAATACAAGAAATAGATAACAATGAAATCTGAACCACCACTACAACTACCCTTAAGGTAGTATGTTCATGCCAGTCAGTAGCCATATTCTAAACCATGATTATATCAACAGATTAACAACAGGGGTTTGTAGAAGTGAGTAGGGCATTTAAATAATTATTTGTTATCACCATTTACGGCATAGGCCTGTTGGCCCATTCCTAGGGTTTATCCCTCCTCAGTAATTTCCGAAGTGTTCTCGATTTCCCCAGCATATTTTTGGGCTGCCAGGATCTCTTCTTCCTCTTGGTTTATACTTGAAGACTTTTCTTTGAAAATGCTTTATCTTCATTCTTTTGATAGTTTTCAATTACTGAGACAATATATTTAATATACAATATATTTTCCAGATCTTTTCAATTCTTATCTTACCTCTCCTTGACACTTTTTTTGTCCATTTCAGAATCCTTGTTTAACTGCCATATAATAGTGTGAGTTTTGCAACAATATGTTAGATTATGTAATCTAATTTTTGTCTCAATGTTCATTTTTTGAAAGTGTCTTCTAATGCATCCAATTGTGATCCATACCTTCCTCTATTATTCTATTCACTTACATTATCTTCACAAATACATTATCTTATTCACCAAGAATGTGAACTCAGACACTTGTTCTGCTATCTTGTTTTCTAAGACTATTTTTGTTCCTCTATATTCTTAACCAATCAATCCCAAAAACTTTGTCTTAAAGAGTGATAATTTTATAATCCTTTGTAAATTTATTTAATTTATGTACTCTTTGTAATTTGTCTTCAGATGTTACTAGTATTGCATATAGTATTGTTTTTATTTTCTGGTTCTTCTTCAGTCATACCTGCTCCTATTTCCTTCTTCTAAGTTTTGGTCATGTTGTTAATGTACAAGTTAAATAGTACTGGGGACAATGTTCATTCTTAGCATTGTCATTTTTGGACAAATTATTTTATTTTTATTTTTATTATTCAAGAATGTATTAAAATGTAAGTTTATTGCCTATACTGTAATAAATATTTCATTTAAATTTTAATAAATTGTGAACATTAGTTTCTGAGAAAATGTTCACTAATTACAAAATAAGAACATTTTCGGCAAATGCTGTTTAAAGAAATCTGTATTTGCTGCTGCTTTGCCAGATCATACCTACACCATATTCTGGATCATCTTTTTCGTCAGAAAAAAACAATGCTACCAATGTATGAACAAGACTGTGTTTCAATAACTCATTAGCAACCTAACTTGCGTTAAACTTCCAAAACAATAGCCATACTTGAATGTAGTGTCAAAAAAAGAGAGCATGGCTCAGGCGCACTATGATATTTAAATAAGAATTAAAAGGACTTCCAGGCGTCCTAGAAGAAAAATGTCGAAATAATTCAAAAGTGCAAGATTTGAATTCTTTATTTAGCCAAAATACAAAAATCCTAAATTTGATCCATAAAAATCCATAATTTCATGGTACTCTCTTCCCCTAAAATTTTTATTGCATAAATTAGGTGTCTTTTATTTTCTCTTATTAGAGGATTTTCCATAGTAGTCTTCCATTTACCCTGTCATATGCCTTCTCATTGTTTATAAACAGAAGGAATGTTGGTAGATTTTGTTCACTTCTTTTTACTTTCTCCTAGGGAGTAGAGAGAAAGTTATAAAATGCTCTCCCAAAAAGTGCATTTTCAGCAGAGGCACTCTAATTTCATAGCCCTCATAATAAAAAGTGGATAAGAACAGTTGCTAAATTTAGAAGAAGAAAAAATGATCACTTGCTGTAGCCAGAATTCCTCTTTTTGTGGGCCCTTGATACTGAGAAATTCGAATTACTGCAAAACGTCTGTCTGTGAAAAATGCTATTGGTAAAACTGTTCAGCCAATTTTCTCCAAAACTGATATTCCCAATCAATCTGGCTGATGTCGCATGCCCTTGAATTTGAAACTGATAATTCAATTTTTGGTTTTTTTTTACAAGATGCCCGTAGAGCATTTTCCAAAAAATCCCGGAAACCTTGAGTTTTTGAAATTTGCGAAAGTTCAAAATGTTTGTAGTATCTTCCTACAACTACAATCATGAAGATAGAGATATTTTTCCAAGATAAAATCCGATCCTTAAGATAGATGTTGAAGTCCTGAACAATTTTTCGAAAATTTGAGGCAAGAAAGTACAAGCTGTTTTAGCACCACTAGTTATTATCTGATCTGGTACAAATATTGCATCAATGGTTCCTCCCCCTCATATTATGCCACTTTGTTCATCTTCTATTATGAATTCACTTGTTTCTATTAGTCTCATTTTTACTTTCCCACATACGTACATACATACGGCGTAATATACGTAGTATAGGGAAAGTTCTGGAATACTTTGTGGAAAATCGATTTAGAGATTTCAAAGGAAACACACATTTTGGAGACCCTAGATACCAAAAAAGTGGTTTTTTTTCCCAATATGTTCGTCTGGTGTCTGTGAACACTACTAGCACCTAAACCAAGCATATGATTTTTTCCAAATTGAAGAAACCTCTGTCCATCTGGCTCGAGTTGAAACTTTGAGATTTTGAAAAACATACTTCAAAATTTTTATTTTATTTTACGTAAAGACCACCCAGACATTTTCAAAATGTTATCATAAAATGGCTCCAAATTTTTTCTTTATATTTCTTGTAAGAATAAAGTAACATACACTTATAAAAGTGGCATAGGCCCAAATTTCATGGTTAACTTCGAATTTTCGAAAATTTCAGTAGTATGAATTTTTTTCAGTGTCTTCCTACAACTACAAAATTACAGATAGAGATTTTGCTTTCAAATACAATTTGCCCTCTATAGTGAGTATTTTCATTAAGGTCAGGTACATGTTTTTGAAAATTTTAGTTGTTTTCGCACAATACTGCTTGCAATATGTGCAATTTTAAGGAATTACAAAAACAAGATTTTCTCAAAAACGGCTCCAATTTTTTCTTTAAACTTTTGGTAGGGATAGTGCTAAATGTGCTCTATCTTTTGTTTTTTCCAAAAATTACAGAAATGTAATTGTTTTACTTGTCTCTCATGTCATTAATATTTATACTAGCGGATATTTGTTCACATTATTATATTTATGAGAACATGTGATTTAAATAATGTGATACAAAGTTTCGCGAAAACTCTAGCGTTTTCTGTGAAAACTAGCTCTCGATTTTCAGAAACACTTAAACGCCATTTTCTCAAAAACTTTTTTCCCCAAAAAAATTACACAAATGTAAATTGTTTGAAAGATCTCTTATGTCGTTGATATGCACATTTGCAGCAATTTGTAAACCCTATTGAATTTGTGAGTGAAAGTACTTAAAATGACTTTACATGAAGTTTTTCAAAAACTCAAGTGTTCTTTGAAAAAGAGCTTCAAATTTTGAATTCACAGTAGTGCTTAAATACCAATTTTTTACAAACGGCTCCAAATTTCACAAAGAAAATTGCTGTTTTGGAAAAGTCTTTACTGTTCTATAATATATTCTTAAAATATTTCCATTCTACTATTCGAAAATTGAATAAGAAAATGACAAAAGTGTACTTTGGGCAGCGATAGATGGCAGCTGATAAGAGGATGGGGCAAGTCCGAATAGCTAGCCAAGACCAAAGGAATACGGAAATGTGAATTGTTTTACATGATAACTTACTGAATGAAAACATTAAACTATAGCCCCTCTCCTCTACTAAATTTATTATTAGATACCACTCCCATTCAGCACTCTTTCAGGGAGGCACAATAGACAGCGCACCGCACTCAGGCCATTACCCTCCTCCATCCTACAGCCAGGTACTTAAGCCATTTGGCTTGCCCGAGCCTGCATAATCATTTTGTGGCTTCCATACAGCAGGTAAGAAAGGGCTCAACTTACATTTCATGTTTTCTGTTTCAAAAATTTCCCATGTTCTAATTCAATTCATTCACTTTCTTGTAATATTAAATGATTAACACCCCCGCCCTTTCTTTCAGTTCTTTAACTGTTAATTCTATTTTCTAAAATTTAAAGTTATTAAAAATCTATTTATTCTAATGTTGTTTTTTGACTCGTGCTTTAATGTTTTTTCTTGCACTAGATAACTGATGACGATGACGAAGCCATTGAAAGCTGCTTTTATAATAAATGATATGGTTGGCAATAACGACTCATATAATTATTTCATTTTATTCTTTATGCACTTGTTACATCTTGAAGTTTTCTCGGTCTGCTCTTTTGGTTGTTCTTGTTATTCTCCGTACTTGGGCCCTTAGTTTCTTATATTCAATATAACTTTCCGTGTTTCTTGTTTGTAGATATATTCTATACACCATTTTCTTTTCTAATATTAATTTTTGAATTCCAGTTGTTTTTTTTTTTTTTTTTTTTTTTTTTTTTTTTTTTTTTTTTTTTTTTTTTTTTTTTTTTTTTGTTATGCAGCCATTTTCCGTTCTTTTATCACCAAAGCTTCTTTACCTGCTAATTTTATAATCTGTTTCAAGTTCCCCATTTTCCATTTAGGTTTATAGTTATGTATTATTATTTTATTTTCTTTCTATTTATTAGTTATGTGTTATCTTTTATTTTCTATTCTTTCCTGATGAAGTGACCTTATATTTCGTTCTTCCAATAGTAGTATTTTCAACTGCTTCTTGGACATCTCTTTTGCTTTTGTTTCGGTTTTTCTGTGTTGAATTATTAGCTTGCTTTCTAGTAGATGAACACTATCGACTTTACATCATCTGTATACTCTTGTATATATCTTTCTTAGTTTCGGATCCTGTTTGATGATTATGTAGTCAATGTTCCTTTTTCCTTCCTTTGTGTATTTGCGGCTGTTCTTATGAAAACAATGATTAATAATAGTTATTTGTAAATATTTAAAAGAAGTATGGAACTGTTGCTCAATAAAAACAATGTTTAAAATTAAATTTAGACTCTATGATTTTCCTTTTCATAAGTTGGCAATACCTCTTTCAGAGTAGAATACCAGTTCAAAATGTTCACATCAAAAATGAATTATAATCAAAAAGCTTCTTGCTGTGTGTGATACAAAATTTTAAGTTGGCACAGTTTTCAGTTGTACCGGATAAGAAACAGTGGTATGATCTATAGAGCATAACTTCTCAACCACGAGCAAGTACTTCCAGTTGTGATGAATTTTGTACCAGTATTTTTATTAATTACTCCTCAGAATGTTGAAGGTATGTTACATTTCATATCACTTAATTCCTCCAAAAATTTATTTTGACTGAATAACTTTTGACAAAACCTTCACATGCAAAAGAGATATACTCCCCTAAAACATTAAACTTATTTCATTAAAAAATTAAAATGATAAGGTTGATTACGATCTTGAAGAGAGATTTTACTTTCATTTACAACATTTTTTTATGGTACTTCACCATGTTAATCTTGTGAGCATTTTACCATAAAATAATATTAATGCAAAGTATTTGTTGAAAGACAAAAAAAAGTGTTAACAATGTTGACAGAAAAAAACGAGAATCATGGTTTACCTCCCACTGTTTACATAGTTACAGACTGATCTTTTTCCCAATCATTAAATAGTATGATTGAAATTGGATTATTTTTCTTTACAATATCCCTTGATTTACAAATTGATGTCAATCATATATTAAATGTCAAATTTTGGGTAAGCAATTATTACATTATTATACAATGCAATACTATCCCCTATTCATTAAAGGAAAAGCACGGCAAATGAAGAGGGATTTTGCATTGGGAAATTTTTATTTGTGAAAGCAAGAATTAACAATGGGTAAGAAAAGGGTAATAAACTGGAGAAATTCATATGGCCCCATGTTAAACATTATTACACTCAAATAACATACTTTTTTGGGCAAGATCTAAATCTTTTACAATTGGAAGAACATCAAAATTTACCTCTGGTAATGCCTTGAAGAATGGTATAAACTTCTTTGAATCTGTGGAAACATTAAAATGTTTAATTTTAAACAAAATGCAAGTAGTAACTCATAAGACAGAATTAAACTGACCAAGTTATACCTGGTATTTGTTCAGCCATGATTTGTTCTGCCAAATTAACTTGATTCCCAAACAAATTTCGAACTAAATTCAGCCAATTCTTTCTACTTTCGCAACTTACTACTTTACAAAACGAAAGAAATTGAAACTGCAGTTTCTTGTAAATTTAGTTTTCTTTGTTTTTTTACATTCACTTTAAATAATTTAAAACATTGGACAAGTACGTTGTGTTGAATTTGTCTTCAGTAAAGTCAGCCGCTAAGCGTCATTCACAGTAGTTGTCACTCATAACACTTTCAGTAATGCGTCAGTGATTTACCAGCTTTACCACGAATCAAAAGCAAATGGAAACCTACAATTTCGGAAACAGTGTATCGCAACTTTCGCCGCTTCCGCCGTCCTCCTATTCCCTGAAATCCATGCAATGCTGCTCCCGTCCCGCCGAAACCCAAGAGGAAACAAAAGATGCATTAAAATAAGATTGTGGGCAATACCAACATATGCGCGGGAAAAAAGACATGGACATAGGAGCTTGGGAGTAGCGTGTGCTATGGCGTCAATAGCCTCAAATCCTTCCACTTTGTTGCCTTTAGAGTTAGTTGATAAATGCATAGGATCACGAATTCATATTATCATGAAAAATGACAAAGAAATTGTAGGAACTCTTTTAGGATTCGATGATTTTGTGAACATGCTTTTAGAAGACGTAACCGAATATGAATCTACTCCTGAGGGTCGCCGCATAACCAAACTTGATCAGATACTTTTAAATGGTAATAATATTACAATGCTCGTTCCCGGGGGAGAAATGCCAGATGCGTAGAACGAGCCTTTCCTCACGTATTCCTCTTCAGCTGATACCGGTTAAATGTAAGTGGAATATGACCAGAATATGACAGGTTTTCTGTTGGTATGCTTTCTTGCGTGTCATTCAGTACGCCTGTAGGTTTGTGGGAGAGTTGCTATTTCCGACGCATATTGCCTTGACTTCAGATATTTATTGTCCATTTTATGCCGTTTATTCCTGGTATTTGTTTTCAGAAAATTCTGGAAATATTCATTTACCAATGTCATACAAAATAATAGAAGCTCCAGTTATTTCTATTCAGTGTGATTGGAATGAAACACTGAGGTAAATAATATGTAAAAATGATGTATAATAAGGCATGCTCATTGATATTGAATACACAGACAACATCTTGTATTGAAGATTATTCATCTTGTATAAAACAAATAAAATGAAGAGTATAAGTCCTAGTTATCCCAATTTTAATTTCAATTTAATGACATCAAATATAACTTCGATCAAGATGTTTTCAAACAAGACAGATTAAGAAATTCGTTATTAACATTTTTTGTGTATTGTATTTTATAAAAGATCTGAATTATACATGATAAATTATTTTCTTTGTTCTCATAACAAAAGTACGCTCTTAAGAAGTAAAGTTTATTTTACTGTATAATGTTTTATAATATTTGTAATGTTTTTAGGAGTGCCAAAGGAGAAGCTTGGGTTTCATGCAAATATCGTGGTATGTTCTTGAGAGTGTCTTGAGTACTTTGGGTAGGTTTACAATTTATATTCCTTTTCATATCATTATGAATTTATGCAGGACAAAACAGTGCCCATGGAAAAATTACAAGCCAGGGACTGTCACAAGGAATTCCTTCATTGACAGTGACTGATAATTTTGTGGTGGATAGTATTTCCAAAAGCACCATACAAATAAAATACCTTTCATCAAATACTTTGTATGTCTTCATAGCACCAGACAGATCTTATAATTCAGCACACAACAAAAGTGTATGTATTTGAGTTAATTGATATATTACTGAATTTGTATTACACTATGATGCTTAAATGGAGTTATTTTCTTTTTCAGGTAATATCTTGTGATGTTACACCAAATGGTTTATGCGTGTCTGCTTGTACTGACAATAAACTTCAAGTATGGGATACAAAAACAGGAGTGATCAGGGTACGCAAAAAAAGTGGGTTTATTTATTCTGAAGCCACAAAACTAAAAGCAACGGCGGGCCATGAATTGAATTCAAAGAAATATTAATGGATTTGCATATAATTAATGTCTTTTTGGTAGTTTTGTTGATGAAAGTTTCCTTTCATTAATATAAAAATCTTCAAATATGTCCAGCATACTCGTTAGGGGTTGTTTGAATAATAATAATAATAAAAATTATTATTGTTATAAAAACCTTTAAGGGATCCTACCCTTTTTACTACTTAATAATTTCACATTTTGTTTTTGTATATACAGTTTAGTTTTGAAACACTTGCATTATCACTGGTTGTATATGCTGTATTTAATTATTTTTCCTATATCTATATATTACCGTATTTACCTGAATATAGGGCGAAGGTTTTAACGAAATACCTCAGTCGAAAAATGCGGGGTCGTCATGTATTCGCAGATGAAGTCTAGTTGGTTAGAATTTAAGATTTTACATTGCCATTCCATGTCACAAAACTTGTAAATGTTGACGTGACAATAAACTGCAAAGACAATAATAATATTGTGCCTTACAATAAATAATTATATTCACGGTGGTATTCTCGGCATCAACCGTGAATTTCTCGGGTAATTCAGACCTATATTTTTGAACGGGCCAATAAGGAAAATCTCTGTCCGAATGGCAAGGTATCAAATGAAACGTAACCTGAAAACTAATGCTGTTAAACAATGCAGGTTCAGTGAGACCACGCGGAATCATGGTTCGACCCCTCGCAAATACTAATATGTGTTTCGAACAGGAAACATAGGCCATCAACAAGTGCGGGACTGATAGAAAATCTGGCGGCAGAAGGTTCTTAGATGGCATCTAATGAAAAACTATGAACAATACAAAATTTATTCTGCTAAACTTTCAAAAAATGCCTGAAAAGTCGGAAAATGTCACAAGATGGAAGGTGGACCAAAAAGAAAGTATTATTGATACATGTGAAGATGATGAGAGTAGTGACAAAAACCATGATTATGATGATATTAAGGAACAAGGAAATAATAGTTCAGCAATAACTCTTTAACATTCTTATCAACAAGGCCATTTTCTAGTCAATAAGATATTTTTTAATTTTATTTTACTTTATTTAAATTAAATAACTTGCATGATTTCATGTTCTCATATATGAATATTTTTTGTTGGTTACTGGCTTTTCTTTGTTTTTCAGCGCACTTTGGAAGGCCATGTGGGAAATGTTTACAAATGTCGCTTCTTCCCTTCGGGCATTGTGGCATTGTCTGGTGGAGCAGATATGCAATTGAAAATTTGGTCTGCTGAGACTGGCCAGTGTCCTGTCACTCTCAGTGGACACACTGCAGCCATCACTGATTTTTGCATTGTTGAAAGGGGTCGTAATATAATCTCTGTTTCAAAGTAAGAAATAAGATCTGCATTGGTCTGAAAAGTCCTTGATCTAACCCAAAGTTTCTCTTACATTGTCCCTTTTAAAAGAATGGTTTGCTCATTGACCCCTCCCTTACATTTCCTATATAATGAACTGCATACAGCATAATCATAAAACAAATAGTTGCATAGAAAATAACTTTTAGATAGCATTTAGAAAAAAATTATGAATAAAAGCTTTGGAAAATGGATTATTAAATTTGTTTTATAATTTTTGATTCATTATTATTAATTTTAAAAATGTAAACAAGTTTCAGAAACAAAATCCTAGATTCCAATTGCACAAACATCTATTTTCATTAATGTGAAATTTTGAAAAGAGGGGAAAATTGGAATTTTATTGATTAACTTTTTTACGCCAGAAATTACTTTTTGTAATCCATGGGATCGTGATATTGGTTGTATTGATCAGTCACCTCACATTTGGCTTTCAATACTTACTAAATCGGGAACCACTGGCCTAACAATAGAGGTCAATTGTCAGAAATCTATTTTTCTTTACTACTGTAAGTAATGTGTTGTAAATTTTCATATGGAATTTGAAGTCATCCTGTACAGTGATGTTCAATGTTGAATGTTCACTTCTGTTAAATGGATGAAATAGAGTATATTGTACGATTTAATTCTTCAATGTTTTAAAGCCAACTGCATGCCTGCATGTTAATGGGTATTTATAAGAATTCTTCTACTTTGTTTTTGACAAATACAAAAATGAGTAGCTATGCTTGAACATGGTATATATTCAGCTTAGAAGATCCACGTATAAGCTGAGAACTACTCAGAAGGCCCTCGTACAACATTTTTCGTGTGGGAGCTTCAGTGGGTCATGTACATGCTTTCCAAGCAAACTGCTTTAAAACAATTTTCTTAAACTAACTTGCTCTATCAGCCTCTTTCTAGACATTGGTGCTACTTCCAAGAAGTGCTTCAAGAGTATTTCATAGAAAGGAAGAGAGAGACTTTTATTTTATTTTTATAATATTTTTGCTTAAAATTAATATCAGATATGTTGAACTGGTGTTTTAAAATCTAAAATGTTTCAAACGTTTCAATGTAAAAATGTAGTTAATCTGAATTCAGTGCTAATGGAAGCAACTGTTCTGTTCCCCCCTCCTGATGGTACAGTTTTGGCAACACCCGCGCATTGAACTCTCCTCCTATCACTTGGAAGTGTCATCATATGTGGATGTAGTTAATTCTCAATAAATATTTTAATCAATTAGATCATTTGTGCGAGTGAAGGGGTACTTTTGATTTTATAATTAGCGTAACTTGCAATAGTGAAGAAAGCTAAGTTTGTAAAGAAATTTTTCTTCGCTTAATAGAGTGAACACAAATGTTTATGTGTATTACTTATTTTCAGAGATGGATTTGCAAAATTATGGGATTGTGGAATGTCCGCATGCCTTGCTGATTTGGTAAACCACAAGTCTGCCATTAATTGTTGTTGTTTAACTGTGACTAGCGGTAATATAAAGATTGAAGATCCTGAAATTGCTTCAAGTGAGTTTATTTGATTTTTGTTTTAATTTGTTAATTTTACTGAGAAAGTAATAAATTTCCATTTTTAGGTGATCGAGAGATTGGCACCAAAGATAAATTGCTGATTGTTGGATGCGAAGATGGAGGAGTATTTGTTGTTGCTGTCTGGAATCGTAAAGAAATACAAAGCCAGAGTTTAGAATCTGCAGTTAATTGTATCACTTCATTAGGAGATCAATACCTTGTAGGTTGTCAAAATGGACAAATACTAATGTTCAAGATAGGAGAGGGTGTAAATGAGCCTGCCTTATGTTGGTTTGAGTCAAACAGTGCTATCTTGAGTGTATTAAGTTACAATGAAATAGGATTCTTTGCCGGTAGAGCTGACGGATCTTGTACGTATTTTGATGTATCAAGTGATGGTGAACACCGAATTCAGCTGACAGGACCAGATTGTGATCCAATTTATGATATTGCCTTTGATGGAACTTTTATTTACACTGCCTGCAGAGATGCTGTTGTGCGAATGTATGATGTTGCTAAAGTGATAGAATCCATTTTTATGTGTTAATATTTTGTATTGAATTGATAAATAAATTACATTGCAAATAAATGTTAAAACTTGTGTTTCCGTATTAAATACAGTATTCCCTCATAACTCGCGATCCTTACAATAGCGTTCTGACGATCTTTGCATTAATAAATTACATTAGGAAAAAAGTCGTGAAATTATTATTTAATCGAAATGCGGCTAATAATTTCAAAATATTGAGCTTTCGTAATAATTTCATCTGTAATGAATTGCCAGGAATAACGTCATTCCTTAAGAAACACAGTACCGTTACTTTACGTGGCGAAGCGGCACTCCCCATCCCCGCAGGAATGTGGAATGGATAGCCGAGTGCTACATTGTTTCTTGGCATGTTACACGTGACCTTGATCTACTGGCGTGGCGTGGTGCGTATTTCAGATCTTCAATAACGCCGTTCTTGCCACCAAATTGAAAGATACGAGATGACAGCTATGTAAACAAAATATCTACCCATACTATTGAGACAGCTGGTAATACTTATGCGATTATAAACGTTTTGTGCATCATAATAAAACATGGATAAAGTAGAAGAAAATCTCAAAAAACTCTTGCTCGGGCAGAGCCTAGACTCTGATCAGGAATTTTGCGATTTCACTTTAGAAGAACAGAATGAAGCGGCAGGTAAGCTCGATAAGACCGACGTAATAACAGCTTGTGTGTTTCAGGTTATGTCAAACGTAATGATTTTCTGCGACATTCGTTGCTTCTACCATCACATAGTAAACATTTTTATCCTTTTTGCAGTTGCCAAAGGCATTGCACCCAGTGCTGCTTCGGATTATGTCCCGATCTGCAAATCTTCAGTTACATACATTGTTGCTGGCATATTTGTCAACCCAGAAAACGAAGTTTTAATGATGCAAGAAGCTAAAAAGTCATGCGCAGGCCAGTGGTATTTACCAGCAGGGAGGATGGAAAAGGGAGAAGACATAGTAGTGCGTGTTACTTTATATTTTAATGAATGATTATTTGCCGTCAAAAAGAAACATTTAGTTAATAAATTGAACAGTTTTGCCCCTGGATAATTTTATTAGCAAAAACAAAATGCAGGTCCAAGAAAATAAATCTTTCTGGGGTACTTCTCAATTAGGGTTTCTCTAGCTTTATGTAAATCCAATGAGCTAAGGTTGTCATGATTTCTTGACTTGTTTATGGACACTCGTAGGCACAGCGTTAAACAGGAGGATTACATTTCTGAAACTCTTTTTCCTTTAAATTCTTGATTTTGACATTTTAAGAAGAAATAAATGAAATATGCCAGCAGAATGAAATTACAACTTTAATGTTACAAATAAATAAAGTTGATATACTTGAGTTTATGTTAAACCAATATTGTCAAATATTTAATTTATTTATTGAGAGTATGTGCTGTTTTTACAAAGATTATAGAATCAGTCATGACAAGACCTCTGACAAATCATCGTTAGGTTTGCCATGTTGTTTGGAAAGATTCTTTCCCATATGCAAGCCCAAATGTCAGATTTAAAAGAGGAAGAGAAAATGAGTTTATCACATTCACAGAAATAAAATGTTCTTTCACATAGGGCTGCAAGACCCTTTCCAAAATGTTCAGGTGGGGGGCATCCTCC